TCCAAGGTTTCAGGCGTGGCACGTTGCCGTGAGTAGTCCAACAGTATCCCGTCAAACTCACAATTAAGTGTTATGTTTGTTTTAGGTGAACCTGGAGATGCTACTAAGATTGAATCCCGTACTCGAACTCATACAGATCCGACTATGGAGATCTAAACGTGAGTTGCTAAAACTCCAGCTTGATGTATTTGCAGAGATGCCAGACCAGCCAGGAAAAAAGAAATCGGAAAAAAAAAAACGCCATTCAAGTTTTCCGAAAATGGGCCGCCTAGGCGGGGGATAGGCGGGTCCTTTTTATTTTATTTTATAAATAGTATCGCCGAACGGCTATACGCTTGAAATTATATATTTAAGTATGGCCGAGCGGCTGTACTCTTGGTTTGGAACTAAGTTTTATTCTTCCAAAAATGACATTCACATTTTTCCTCTTAACCAGATTTGACGTCTCCAATATGTCAATATGAAATAGACATAACAATCGCTATGCAAGAAAGATCTATTTCCAGATCAGAAAGCAAAATTTCCTTGAGGCCATTGACAAGTGAGAACATTTTTTTGAAGCTTCTTATAATCTATACATAAACAATCTTAAAAAGCACCATGTTCTGCATGTTTTTGTTCAGTCTTGACAGCAATTGTCGCTCCAAGGCATTAGATATCCTCATGAAGGATCTCAAAGTTTTTGCCGAAGGTAATGAGGAGCTGTTCAAAGAAATGCATCAAATGTGTATGGGTTCAATCCAACAGGGATCAGACGGCACTCTCTATGTGTGGAGATATAATGTCTCAATCAGATTTTGCATAATGATGGCATATCTACAGAGAATTTATTCAATAATGGATATTTCTTTAAAGAACAATCTATTGAATCTCATAATACGCAGAGATAATAATCTTCCAAAAGCCACAAGAGACCTCAATTTCTGAAATTCTTGTTACAATAATTCCTCAAAAGCTCCTTCACCCAGCCAGTCATTGCCAAAACCAAAAGTTCCAGCCATCTGTATAAACAGAAACCAAAAGGCATAAAAGTAAGACAATTTGTAACAGTTGTAAGTGAAAACAATAGCTGATTACAGCCAGTGTTTTCAAAGGCATGCCTTTGCGCTCGTCGGCGCGAGGCGGGAGGAAAACGCCCGAGGCGGTCGGCTGTTTCGCGAGTTGCACGTTTAGCGCTGGGAAGGCGTGAGAAGGCGTTGCAAAAACATGGTAATCTAATGATTCCAGAGTACAGCCGCTATACTCTTAATGCTTACCGAGGGTAGTTTCTGGGTTTAACGCTGCAATATTTCTGGCAACATCAATAGGATCAACATTTGCAAGACTGCACACAGAGGAAAACAAATTAATAGAATACCCTTAGACCCGAATCATCCATCTTCTGATAATAAATAAAAAATTATATATGCCACAAATATTTTTCAGAAACGGAGTACTGCCACTCTTTATGGGCCATGCACCCCACCAAACATTCGGTTAATCTTCTCTTTGAGGGATGCAGCCTGCATTGTGGCATAGACAACATTAATTAAACAAC